TTCTTCTTCGCCTTGGACGATGTGACTCTGATACGAATAAGAGGCTGTTAGTTGGTATTTTGGCTTAGTTCTGGGAAATTACGTACAGTGTAGCACTTACATGCAGAGCATCCACGAAGGTAAGCACAGAACATAATAGTAGTGACGTCAGAGTGACCGGCGTCACTGCACGATGTCTCCTGACCAACTTGAAAATCACAGGAAAGAGGTAACCACACTCACTGATAAATGATAGATCATAGCCACCTCCAGATGCTCATTCACTCTTACGGGGGGATGTATAAATATGACGATAGTTCTCGAGAGAAGCAGATGCTGATGGATGTTAGCTATTAAGCTCTCAAAACGTGGACGGTCATGCCTGATTTCCCCCTGCCCCCGATACAGTTGCTTCAGCAGAATGCAGAGCTGTGGTCGGGGCGTCCGTTTGCCTGCGGGTGTTTGTCGATCTTCAAAATGCTTGGTGGCGTGCGGTATCTCTCAACCCCCAACCTCAAATCTGGCTTCCACCAGATTCCCACGGCCCCGGAAAACCTTTGGAAGATCGCGTCCTGCTCCATCTTGGGTCGCTTTGAAAAGAACGTGATACCCTCTGGCCTTAGTAGCGCTCCTGCAGCATTCCATGTGCTCCAAATCACTCTGCTGAGGCACAACATGCTTGTTCCAACCACTTCGCATCCCTTGCAGGCGCTGGAGCAACGTCTCTATGGATTTCATCACGGACATGACCCGGCAGTGGAGTGACGAAATCCATAGGTTTTCATCCTGACCATATCAGAGGTCGTGATCCATGCCTTCAGCCGGACCCTCGGGAGGAGCTCTGTGAGCTTTTTAACTTACAGTATATCATTTCCACTGCACAGCACCCGCAGACCGTTCTCCAGACGGAGCGCGTAAATCGCACTCTCGAGTAGATGATCCAGCCGTACATTCAGGCGGAGGAGCGTGAGTGGGAAAGGTTGCTGCCCGCGTGGGAGCTCGCGTATAACACCACTAGGCACTCTTCCACTGTGCTCAGCCCTTCTGCTGTAATGATCCGGCAGAACCTGATCGAAGCAGCAGAGTTGGAGAATGTGGTGCTTTAGCTCTTAC